AAACAAGAGAAAGTGGATTGATGGATTGCTTGATGACCCTGGCTGGAGAAAATATTTTCCTACCCTCTTCCACTAACAAATAAAAAAGAAAAAAGGAAAACATGGACGAAATGGCAAAAACGAAATAGCCAACTTTGGAAAAATGTGATAAACGTGATAAGATTTAATCATCAGGTTGACTAAATTTTTCTTTATTTCAATGTTTTTACTTTGCTCAAGTTTTAATTTGACAGCCATGAATATTAACGGGGGAAAGGGACATTAAGTAAGAAAGAATGAAAACGGCATATAAAGTCTCAAGTATTCGCTTCACGAATGGGGTGTGAAGGAAAAACCAAAAAGGAGAGAAAACTCTTGAGTTTTCGCTTCACAATTGCAAGTTGCAAACAATGATATGATCAAAGGAAAATGAGAGATCCCAAAACTCTCGAGTTTTCGCTTCACAAATATGGTACATGTCATCAGGCATTCATGGGAGATTTGTAAGAAGAAAAGGAAAATTTTAATAATGAAAACATGAAGACCAGAGTGCATGGGTGGATGGGATATAAAAAAGAAAGCAAATGAAAGATCCAAGAGGTGAAATAACTCCCGAGTTCTTCACTGTTCAAGAGTCAATTAGGCATAAAATACAAATTACTTTGTAAAGTTCAGAATTTTGATGCATAAGATTTTAAAGTTTAGCTCTCCAAATGGGATTTTTAGCTTTATTTTTTGTTCAAATAGTTTGGAATTTGAGTATATGAAATTGAAAATGTCAGGAAAGAATCTTGCTGCAGCCTGTAGTGATGGGAAAAATTGGAGAACTCGCCAGATTAAGAGACTGATGGGCCAATATCATATATTTTGGACCATTCAGTAGAATTTAGAAGGGTCCTAAAGTTTCTCTTGGGCAAGGGTTATTACTTTTTTGATTGGGGCTTGGTCCAATTCACTAAAGAATTCCTTCATACAGCTCTTTATTGAAATTGAAATATTGGGCTCTGGAGAGAAGGGTGGTGTTATATTTTGGGCTTTTATGTGCTTTTGTCTTTTGAAGATTCCAAATAATGGGCCTTTGGCAGATGATTATAGTACGCCTTCGTTTGTTTTATGTATCCATTTGACGTAAATAAGATCGTTCTTCAATTTACAGCTCCCTTGTGATGGCGAAAGCTCTTTTCTTCTTCTTTTTGGATACAAAATAAAGAAGCTTTAATGTAAGAAATCCATAATTAAACAGCTAAATTATAAACATAAGATAAAAAATGCGAATTTTCCCCTCATAACTGTTGCTGCTTCCAGCCATAAAAGTTTAGTCCATATGAAATCCAGTGTATCAAATAATAGCTTCAGAGCATCTCTAGGACAGCTTTTTTTGGTGGTGGCGAGAAGGAGAACGGTTGATGAAGATCTTTTAGCATCCATCTAAAAAAACTAGGTTTCACTTCTCTTGTGATTGGCAATGTGGGTTTGTATAGAGTAGTACTAAGTGAATTGTGTTGCTTTCATTGGCAAGAAAAAATGCGTAATGAACACTAGCATCTAGCCATGTGAATTAGCAAGGTTGGCTAGAATTTAATTAGCTGGCAATGCAAGAGGTTCAGAATCAAAAGCATGAGGAATCTATATCATATGTTAATATGCTGTTTTTGATTCATTGGATTACAAATATTGATAGACCGGTCTGGCTTGTTATCCAACCTCCCTGAATAACACACCCATCTGACATTTCTGTTTTATGATAAATGAATTACAAGAGCTATCAAGAGAGAATTCATGTCTTTATTATCCAAAAAAAAAAAAGTGAATTTATGACATGAAAAATTAAAATGTGTTATGCCTAAAACTAAGTTCTAGATTTTGTGATTTGAATATGAGACGAGTGGATGTGATTTTCAAAGTTGGTTTTGCACAAAAGTCTTAGGTGCCAACAAAAAGCTCTTACTATGATTTAAAAGTATCGAGGCTTTCTTATAATCAACCACCTTCCACATGTGACTGATGGAACTCATTAGTTTGTTTGCATTCATCTAAAGCTTGATGATTTTGTTCGTGACCCTTCATTTACTTGTGGATATATCGATCTGAAACGATTTTCTCACGACACAACACTCTCATCAACTAATTGGCGAATTAACTCTATTAATTTGATAAGCTGTTAGCCACCAATCACTGCATAAAATGATATAAACAGACAACCAATGGTTTCCTTTTATAGCATGAAGTTATAAGCAGTTGATCCATAAACCTCACAGTGTAAAATGGATTATTAGCCTTAGATCTTGCTAAAGTTAGGGAAACCCACCTCAGCTTGGATTGGAATTTTGCCATTATTTTGCTTGCTGTGCTATTATTACTAGTATTTATGATTTGACGTGGAAATTCGGCTTTAAGTCTTTCAACGAAGCTCTTTCAATTGTGGTAAATGCAAATTGAATTGGTCCTGAATTAATCATTGAAAGTGATTCGCAAGCTGTCACATATTGGACAAACAAAGTTAGCTCCAGTCCTTGGAAATTCAATGATCCCCTTAACAAATTATATTCTATACCCTAGAGTGAGTAAAGTTTCTTTTGTTCATATCTTTCGAGAGGCCAGCCACTTTGCCGATTCGTTGGCCAAATTGGGAGTTAACAGAAAGAACGATCTTGTAGCTTGTGTGTAATTTTCTATCAATAATATTTGCTTCTTTCACTGTTCAAAAAAAGGTGGAAATTCGGAACAAGTTCAAGCATATACTTGATTAATATATTTGATTCTTGGCCTTCCTTTTTCAAGCTCAAACGTCGACTTTAAATCTTCAATCCCTTCAATTCCAGCAAACTAGGAAAAATTAGTACGGTCACATCAGTGATTGAAGAACATTTTGATTAGCTTAGCTGTTTTATTTGCTTAATTTGGTTTTTCTGGGGACATATAGCCTCTTCAAGCTGGCATATGGTTTGAAAATGTGGAACAGAAGGATAAAATATTTACTTGAATGAAAGATTTGTTTTACCATCACGAAATAGCTATCACATTCATCCAGATTCGTAGTCGGTTAGGATCGCTATCACTCATGCTAAAATTGTTTATATTCTAGAATTTGGTCAAACTTAAACAGTTTGGAATATATCAATCAATATGGTCCAGCTTTTTATTTTTATTTATTTATTTATTTTCAGAGAAGCTACTGCAAGATCGATCTTTCACGGGATGTTATGTTAGTCATTCTTGTATCAAGACAAGAAAATGAAGTCGTCCTTGATAAAAGCTTATTACCAGCTAGATTGTAAGCTCTCTTTTAATCATGCTTCGGTACAATTAGTGAATGACTTGCTTGCAACATTTTGGCTAAGCGGACACACAAAATTAATGGCATTTTATAACAGTCATACGCATACCTTTTTGTTGATTATCTATTGTCTTTGCAACCGATTGCTTTGGTCTTTTCATATACTGAACCAAATCTGTCAAGTGGAATAAAGCTAAAGAACTTTGTCCCTCATGTTTACCACAAGATGTCAAAAGCAGATAACTTCAAGTTTTTCAATGCATAAATATGGTGACAAAACTGTCGACCTCTGGCAATGGGTGAAGCTGTTTTTTTTTTTTCATTTTTGTTTTCCAGTGACTTTTAATTCATTGCTCAACACGCGTTCGTCGCTAGAAAATAAATTAACATTGTTTGGATCATACCTTAAGTTGGAAGATATAATGTTGACTTGATTAAGCATCAGTAGTTTCTGCAGTAGAAAGAAAATTATGGCTCCACTCAATGTGTGAATGGAAAGGAAAAAAAAAAAAATCAGCCCATGACTATCGTCTTATAAATAAATGGTTTTTTTTTTCAGCTGAGGGCACAGTTTCAAATGAATCTCTGGTGGAGCCCATGGCAGGTTCTACCATTCTAGGCTCGCCCGTGACACTCCAATCTGTTCCAGCTAGAAAACTCCATTGACAACATGCCAAGATCGATAGAAGACTTTGCATCGGCATGCTAGAAAATATAGGAAATAAAAAAGGTTTGTTAGCAGTAATATCAATAATCTCAGAATATTATGGAGGAAAACTGAAGTATTAAACTATAACAGAATCAAAATGAAGCTTCTCTGGCTGCATTAAATGTTTCATGGTCATGCTGCAGAATCCAGACCGGATTTTCGAACAGAATCTGTAAGATCAAAGATGCTTTTTGTGGAAAAACCTTATGAGTTCCCTTAGATGAGCCAAGCTAGAGACCATTCCTTGATGTTGGATTGGGATCATTAGCTCATTACAGTCAGCAACTTCCTTTGGGATCTTGAAATTCAAGTTCAACGTAAATGATTTTCAATATATAAATATTCTTAGAAGAGAAGCAAAAACGAAAACAAAGATATATCTCTGATGACTGTTGGATTAACAGGCCATAACCGGGTACGATGACAGGGTACAGTATAGATTGGAATATAGCGCAATCAAAACAAAACAAAATAGTAGCCCAAAGAAGAAAATGAAGGTGTGACAAGCTAGCCTCAAGAGAGAATTATGTTGTTCTAAATCTGTATCCATTTTGTCTTCAGCACTTAGCGGTTGTATCTACCCTAGTTAATTTGGAAGAACTGTAAAATAAAAGAAAATGCAGTAAATACTATAAGCTGTCATTGTTGAGAAGACAAGGAAACAAACAACCTAGTGTTTTCTGTATTAAGTTTTATATCAGTTTTGTCAAAAAATTAACTAGATAATGCTATTAGGATGGATGATGTAGCACTGATTAACTGATTTCAGGGTCCCATCTTCTTTCATGATGAGAGGTAATTGGGATGCAAACGTCTTAATCTTGTTGATGCTTTGGATTGTTGCGTACTTAAGATCAAACACTGTTGCAAACCGTATAATTTATGCTAGACGGATCCACGAAATGATGCTTGGGGCAGTGGTAACGTGGCAATGTGCTAATCCCCACCTCACAATCACAAACATCCAAAGTTCACCAAAAATCTTCTGCATATGCCAGCTCAAATCGCAAAAATCAAATTGATTCATTGTATAATTTTATTAATTAAATTCTTTTAAACTAACCGAAGTGCCCTCTTGAAACACTATAAAACCCCCCTCCCTTCACTCCAAATTCTCCATCCTCACCTAGTACTACTCTCTCCTATTACTTTTACTTGCTGTAATTAAGCGAGAAGCTACTACGGTTTGAAGAGAGATGGGTTCAAAAAGATCAGCAACACTTGCCCTCTTTTTTTCACTCAACATTCTCTTCTTTTCTCTAGTCAGTGCTTGTGATTCCTGCCCTTCCCCCAGGCCAAAACCAAATCCCACTCCCTCTCCAACTCCTGCTGGGGGAGGCAGATGCCCCAGAGATGCCCTTAAATTAGGTGTATGTGCTAATGTGCTTGGTTTGGTAAATGTCACCGTTGGTTCACCCCCCGTACAGCCCTGCTGCTCCCTCATCCAAGGCCTTGCTGATCTTGAGGCTGCTGTTTGCCTTTGTACAGCCATCAAAGCTAACATTTTGGGCATCAACCTTAATATCCCAATTTCCCTCAGCTTGCTTCTCAACGTCTGCTCAATGAATGCTCCCTCTGGCTTCCAATGTGCCTAATCACTTTTCTAAATTCTTTCTCATCTTCTTGGTGTTGTGTGATTTTGAAGTTCTAATTTCCACTATGCAGTGATTCAGTGTTTTAATTGGTAACTGTTTGTTTCCCTTGTTTTAGTGTTGTTTCCTTGTGGATTTATACTGAATAAGTGCGTGTAACACATTTCTTCAAGTGTTTTCTTTGGGTTTATGTATCTTTAAGGGAGATGAAATACTAGTATTATTCAGCTTGTTTATTTTAATAAACCAACCATTCTTCCATTTAGAGAGTGGAAGTATGTCTAATTTCTCGATATTGTCGTACTATAGCCTTTGGTCCCGTGACCTTCATGGCAAAGATCTTTGCATCTAGCCATCTAGGACACAATTATATGTCAAATCATTCTTTTTCTCTTGTTATTGTTTTGTTGCATCTAAAACGTAAGAGTTGAAATCACCTCCTCTTGTCTCCTCTGATCACTTCTCCATCTTTTACTACAATCCCTAACACAGTAGTGTTATTATTATCTCTAAAGCTTCTTATGGCCATGATTTCTGCATATACATGCCAAAAATAGCAACGAACTCTTTTGCCTCTGTACATCTATAAAATGAAATACATAATAAACAAATAAATGGGTTTATATGAATTTGTATGAAATCTAACATTAGAGAAAACAAGAATATTTCTGAAGCACTATGAAAAATATAATAAAGAAAAAGAAAGGAAACGTGGTCGCATATCAATGCTGATTTAGATATTTTTGTATACTGTTGATGACAATCAGCTGGGGAATGTAAGAGGGCCCAACAAGTGGAAATAAAGGTCGGATTACCACAAGATGTCCCTATCATTCTTACAATTTTCATGTCGTTTACTCCATGGAGTATTAGAGTAAAGTAGATTTCTAACAGTCAGACTTTTTTTAGATGAACACACAGACTTTTAATTAGCAACTAAGTTTCAGTCGTGGCCCATGCCGGATATTTTTTTAAGTCAATAGCAACTACACTGAAGCACAGTTGCGAGTCCGTGACTAAGAATTCGGTGAGAAAGTAGTACGCATTCTCACATGAAAAAAGGAAAAAAAAAAAAAAGAAAGAAAGAAAAAGAAAGCTCATTCCGTTTCACACTTCGCAGCACTCACCTGCCCAAAAAAGCAATGATTCCTTGGCCTTACTGACCGCAATATCCTGAGAATTCAATGTATTAATGATGGTAATCCTCTAAACGTGTTGAATACTTCTTTAATGCGCTCTTGTATGTATATATATTTTAAGTGATTATTTATTATTTATTTGCTTTTTTTTATAATTTTTGTGGGGGTAAAGTTTTTGTATAATGGAATGGAGTAGTTAAAGAAGAGTCAATCCACTGTAGTATCACTGTTAATTTGATTGGTTTTAGATAAGGTTTGGTAACATTTTTTAAATTATTGTGGTGATTTAATTACTTTAGTGATATAAGATCACTAAGGTGATTTAATGTAATATTATAAATCATTGTATTTGATATTATATGAAAAAATAAATTATATAGTACAAAATATTTAAAATAATTTTATAAAAAAGTAAAATATTTAATACTTATTAAATCAGCAATTTATAAAATAGTTAAATGTTATTTTATAAAAAACTATAAAATATAAATCAATTATGATAAAAATAATTTCTAAAAAAATTATTAACTAAATTCATTATTTTTTTCTAATTAATATAAAAAAAATTTTAGAATTAGTGATTCAAAAACTGATTTTTTAAAATTTTTAGTGACTAGTTTTTTGGGGATAATATTAACTATATTTTTGTGAGGGTAAATTAGTTAGAAAATAATATTAAAAATTTTTTTTATAATGATAAAATTTTCTCATCTTTAGATTGAAAATCAAATTACTTTCTAAGTCAATAATCTTATCACACGTAAGATCACTACATCAAACAAGGTGATGTAATTAATGAATGCAGATTATCGTGATTTTAAACAATTATCACATATCAAAAACTCTCTTAAAATCATTTAAAACAGTAATTAAACGTACATAAATTACAAATAATACAAAAATTACGAATAAAAATTGTTCAAAATAAACTTATAATTAAAAAGCACGAAAGACAATTAGACTTCAATGGGAATTTTGCAATATCAAGTCATGACTGTTGTCTGCCAAGAATAAGATCCCCAAACCAATGTCCAATATGATTACTGCTTTCAATTTCTTGCAAAAAGATTTCTAACCCCACGCAATGGGAGGTAAATAGGCAGTAAACCTCCCCTTCTTACAAGTTACAACCATCAAATCATGATGATAAAAGAGGGATTCCATCTAATTAAGATCTTTAACACAGTTAGAAAATGATTATAAATTAATTAAGGGAAAGATTTAATAGTTTTGGTCTAGCTCTCCCACCTGCTAATTTTGTAACCTAACCAAGAATTATAAAGAAAGACCAGCTGAATTGGAATGGACCCTCTTATGTACCAATTCAAACCCGTGAACCATTTTTGTCTGTAATTACCTCAGATCATAACCATCATATGCCCAATAATTACAATTTTATACTTTCCCCGGCATGGGATGAACATGTATTTCGATTATAAATTGCAAACACAAAATTTTCTAAGAAAATCAAGGAATGGCTCCTATGTCATGTGATCGTGATTGGATCCATGAGATCGACCATGTTATAGATCTTGATTGTCGAGAGCTGCTCTCTCCGAGTCAACTTGCCTAATTTACTTAAGAATTTTTTTCTTTTTTTTTTTTTTATGAAATTATAAGTACAACTTTACAAGTAAATATGATAATTAAAATAAAATATCCATATAAAATATCAAAGCTTCGAATCAAATAAGCAAATCAACCAATTAACAAATTCAATATAAAGTTAACCAAACCCATATACTGTAAAACTTGAACATAAAACTTTAAGATTTTAGAATTTCTTTTTTGTTACTAAAACTTGAATATAAAAGTTTAATATTTTAGAATTTCTTTTTTGTCACTAAACTAAGGCCTTTTTTTAAGATTTAGATCAAACTTTGATTCAATGGAAATCTGATTACTTAATGAGAAAGATACGACCTATTTCGTCTTCTCTTGGAGGAAAATGACTTGGACAATGGAATTAGGAAGTTCTTTTTTGATAATGAATTGCTAGCTACCCTCACGATAATACTGGAATTGTAAGTTTTTGAAAAACAAGGGAAAAGAAAACGGAAAGATGAAGGAAAAATGAAAGCGATATATCTACTTTATCGTCTCTTTAACTGCAATGAAGATTCTTCCCGAAATAGGTTCTCTGTCCCTAAATAATTGAAGAATGGTCGGTTTGAGACTTAATTTGGGGTGTGTATCCAGTTGCAATTATTTACATACTTAAATCCTTGAAATAAAAAAATGATTATATGAAATGAGTGCATGTAAGATTGTCCTAATTTTAATTAGGGTTAAGTATCCAAATTGAATTACAATATTATTAGTTAATTTTAGTTGAGTTAAATCATGATAACAAAATACAAGTGATCATATCTAAAAAAAACTCCATAAATGTAGAGTGTAGAACAGATGAAGATGAAAAATTTATTAATCTAATGATTAAATTATAAAGTAAAAAAATGATTAGTAATTTTAATTATTAAATTAACAATTTTTTTATTCTCACCAATTTTCTTTCTTTTTACCTAGCAAAGGCATAAAGCAAGCATTAAAACAGTCAGTAAATAAATATTAACTCATTTTGGCGAAAAAAAAAAATTTACTCACACTTTCAAATGCAACTCCCATATCCACTGGAAGTTCAAACCCCGATCGAAGAAAGCAAAGCAAACTCTAATCAATTGAAAATACAACAATAGTCAAACCCTCGCTAGCAGAAAACGATCTTTATTCTGACCTGATATTGATGGAAAAGTACACTTTTTTTTTCCTGTTTTTATGCTTTTCTTTTGGTAGTTAAAGAAACAGTTAGCATGGGAGGCCGAGGTGGCAACCCTGCCTAGAAGCTGAGTTCTATCTATCTTGTACGTCCAGAGTAAGTGTCGTAGCCTTGTTATCAATGAATGTGCAGTTAAAGAGGAGGACAAAGGAAACCAGGAGGAGGGTTTTTTCCACAAGTTATTAAAGCTTGAAGAGCAAGGGGAATGAATATATTAAGGTTTAGAAGCTTAATCCTTATAGCAGTGCAAAGACAAACGGCTGCTTCAAGCTCTAGTAGACCTCCTAACACTGGGCAGCAAGCGTTCTCAACAGGGTTTCCTAACCCAATATGCACCAATCCTCCAAGCACATCCACGCAGAGTCCTAGCTTAAGTGCATTAACTGGGCAAGTTGGTTGAGTAGTTGGTGGAGCAGGAGAGCTACCCCCTCCTCCACCTCCTCCACCAGAAGGTGGGCCTCCACTGTAAGGTGGGTAAGGAGCAGAAGGTGTTGGGATTGTAACAGGAGGGTTGGTAGTGGGAGGTGATATCACGGGAGGGTTTGTTATTGGTGGCGTAATGATGATTGGTGGGACAATAACTGGTGGCATTGGTGGCTTTTTTGATGGTGGCTCTACCTTTGGGGAGCCTCCATGTCGTGGTGGGTGCTTGGTGCTAGGCGGGTTCGGGCGGGGAACTTTAGGGTGAGTTGGGCCGTGGTACGGCGGAGGATGTGGCTGCGTACAGGGAACACAAGCATAAATTGGTGGCAAAGATACTAACATGAAAATCAAAAAGATGAAAAACATGGCTGTAAACTTCGAACCCATTACGTAGGGTTCCAAGATTATTCTCCTTGAGCTTTGATAGGGTTGGATCAAAGAAAATATATAGAGCTGAATTTATGTGTTACCCGTGACTGTGGCTAAGGCCTGGGAGTATCAAAGCACCCTAGTCCTCTACAAATGTATGAGAACAAATGAAAATGTGGAGGATTCCAAATAAATTGAAGATTTTGGAGTGGTGTAGGTTGATTGCAAACTTCAATGTCCTGTTCGTGACTGTTGCGCCAAGTTTCAATCCGTGAATTATGTTTGATTTCTGTGCAAGTTCAGTTTCACAGATTTCTATGGCGTACTCTCTGTTTGTTTCGTATTCTTTCTTGACAATTAATTATTACATAATTATGCATATATTTTTTTATTTCTCCTCATTCCTCAACAAGTAACAACAATTTTGCATGATTTGTCGAACCAAATTTTTTCCAACGAACCATGAGGCTCATTCATAATGTATCCTCTATTATTTCTGCTGTGCCTTTGTAAGATCAGTTGATGGTAGCCTGAGTCGTGTAACAGAGCAGAACAGATCATAGTGCTGGCTAGGGTTTGCACTTTTCAGGGATGTGGTACGTTGTGTATTATTTTTCTGTTCCTTTCACCAAGTACGACGCATGCGTGGTTTCTGTCCTATTTTCAATTCTTTTTATTATGTGTACGTAGACATTCAATTTACTTTGAAATCTAAATCAATTGTATCTGATTTAATTTTAAGGTCGTAAAATTTTAAATCAACTGGATTCAAATTTAATCAAAGTTTAATTATCAAAATTATGTTTTTATTTTATTTTTTAATATATTTTTTATTTATCTTTTGTTTTTTATTTTATTATTTATTTTATCTTATTTATTATTTATCTTTAATTGTATTTATTTAAACTTTTTACATTTATCTTATTTTTTTAGATTTATAATAATTGAAAAAATTGAATGGCTATAAATCAAAGAGGAGTGATTGATAATATTGTAATTTTATCATTATTAAATTTGAAGTTAAACTTTCAAAGATAAATTTTATTTTTTTCATGATAATCTTAATTTTTTTTAGTTGGAATCAATCTGAAAATCTTCTTATTGTGCCATATAAATAAACTTTTAAATCATAAAATAAAAGGCACACCAATCAGAGAGCAATTGGAAAGAAAAATAGAGAAAAACATGAGAGCAAAAGTTTGACAACAATTGGATGTTTTGATTCGGGTAAAAATTTTATTTTATGAGTAGCTTTGAGTTTAATTCAAGGAAGATGGTGGGTCAAATAGATTTAAAAGACTAAGTTCGCAATGGAAGAATTTTCTACAAAATTTTTAGAATTTTCTAAAAATCAATTGAATTTTTAGACCAAGTTCATATTTTTTAACAAAATTCTGATGTAATTATACAAATTTCGAAGGCCAATCCCATAATTTATTGACTAACCCAAAATCTAATTGACGATCGATGAACTTTTTGATGACGTTAAAGATTTAGACCATCAATCTAAAAAAGAAAAAAAAGGTAAGAGCATCTAGTAGAAAGAGAGAAGACAAAAGGGTTTTGAAGAAAAAAATATATATTTAGGGCTTTAGCATTATATATTGGCATGAAAAGGCATCGTTTTTTTTGTTAAACAAATTTTAGGATCCGCATGTTGTCTTGTGGTTTGGATCTGACCCTGCTACTTGACTCGAATTGCAACCCGTTCCAGCAACTCATGCCTAAATTGAGTCAAGCCGCTTTTTAAACTTTTCCAGCCAGTTTCATGTCTGCAGCTGAGCTCTGCTCCAGTCACCAAGTTAAGCTGTGGTGTTTTGGTATTTTTTTTCTCCATTTTATTTATTTATTTATTATGAGTTTTGTTTATTTAATTTTTATTATTTATTTATTTGTGATATTTTCATTTGATTTTTTTAGGAAAATTGCTAGGGAAGTTAATTTTAAATTATAATAAATATGAAATAAAATTTTAATAAGATATTGAGAATAAATAATAATTATACAATGATGAAATTTTAAAAATTACAAATAGTTAATTTCTAAAAAATTTCTAGGTAAGAAATTTGTTTTTTAAATTTGATCAAAATGGAGGAAAAATTTAGATAAAGTTTCAATAACAATAATTAATATTTATTTTTAAATTTAAATAAATAAATAAATTTAATAAAAAAATTAATAAAATTATTGAAAATGAATTAAGAATTATTCCAATGGATTTCTAAAAATTTAAAATAGTAAATTTTTTAAAGAAATCTCTAGGTGAGCATTTCTCTAAATTTAACCAAAATTATGAAATAATTTAAATGAAATTTTAATAAAAATAATTGTACATCTTTCCAAATGAAAAATTAAAAATATAACTTAAAAAAAATTGTGTGAAAAATATATGATGATTATCCAAAGATGAAATCTTTAAAAAAATCACAAATTGTTAAATTTCCATTAGATTTCTAGGTAAAAAGTTTATTATAAATGATTAATTTTTTTTTTACAACGGAAAGACCAAGCCCAGAGGCACAATGGAGGTCGTGGCACAGGACTATAACCTAGAGTGGGTGTGCAAATATTGAAATGAGCTTAGAGAGCTTAGGCCAAGGGATTTGGTTTTGTAACTTTCAGATAGACTCAAGGGCAGGCATGGGAAGAATTGAACCAAGCGCGAGCCCAAAAAGGGGCCTCGCATAGGCACTACTGAAGAAGGAGTCCAAGCTGGTTCAACCTCCTTTATGATAGAGTTAATGTAAAATTAGAACTCTCCAGATTGTAATCCTTTGTAATATCTTGTATATGTTGGACTTTTTGTGAGTCATAGGATAGGAACTATCTCAGCTAATGATTTAAGGAGGCTTTGCCCCACCCTTCTTGTACACCTCCACAACTTGAGTAATAAAAAAATAAATGAATTTTTTGAATATTTTTGAAGTGATAAAATATTTTTAAAAATTCTACCAAATAAAAATCTATTAGAATCAAAATGATTGTTAAGATAATTTAAAATTGAATGGTACAACATAGATAGATGTTGTGAGAGTGTTATAATCCATACGTAACTGAACTTTCATTATTCTAAAATACAAACTAGAAAATATTCTTTTAGAGACTCTTAATTAACCTTATGACATATTTAATAAGATATCTTGCCAACTACACCTATAAAAAAAAGATTTGTGGTAACTCATTAAATTTATATCTAATTATAGACCTACAGATTTATACGTCATGATTAAGTATATAATGTACAAAACTTCAAGGCAATTAATTTTCAACTCTTGATGAAGATCAATGATATTTGCTTAAAGTTATGGAGTACTTAATCTCTTGAATTTAAAACAATAATTAACGAAAATTCGAGGCTTTTATCTTATATAAAAAAAGGAATTATTTTGATTCAATCTTTTCTTGCCTATTCAAATTCTAGATTTGACATCAATTAAACTAATCACACAATATTCACATGTTGTTTTATCTCTTTTGTTCGATTTAGGATATAATAACCAATTCCACAAATCTTTGTAATTTCAAAAAATAATTTATTTATCTTATTATTAATCAAGGATTTCGTATATAGCTTAAATGACTCTCACAAATTACGATTACTAATTTGTTAAGAATTAATCAAATTGAAGTTATAGTGTCATCATTTGCTGGAATCGATCTACAGCCATGGCTCACCCAAAAGACTCCCGTGGGATCATATAATAATTAACTATATGCAAAAGGAAATTTGCATTTTATATCATTCAACAATTTATATATAGATTATAATTTTTAAAAATATAAATGATAAACCCCTTAATGTTAATTTGATCCAGTCCAATCTCTCTAAAATATAATGATAAAATCATAAAATTAAATATATTGTATTCTATTATTTTAAAAAAATTGAATAATATTTATTTCATAATTGAACCTCTTTATATACAAGTGTTTGTGTGTATCCATTTTTATGTGTATCCATGAATATAATTGGATAATCATTATAGTACATTTGAATTTTTCTGAGTCATATATATTGCATTTTATTATATGAAAAAATAGATATTTAATTTTTGACACCTTTTAACTTTTTATTCAATGGTCAATATAGAAAAATGACAAAATTTTACATGGAAATGTATATAGAATGATATACAAAGGAGATGATGAAAAGCATGCATTGAAGTAAGTTGAGGAAGGCGAGCAGTTACAAAAAATGTTAATAGGAGATGAGGAAAGTTGTTATCTGGACTGTGGTTGTTGAATGTGAACTGAATCTTGGAATGTCGTGTTATTATTGCTGGTGTTTTATTGAAATGAGTTGGGGAATATTTTTGAGTAATTAAATTGTAAATGTGTATGCTTTAGAAAATTGACTTATCAGGATGAGATAGTGTGACCAGATCAGACATGATACAAGCCTGGTAGTACATGTAAATGTGCGGCCAGGCTGTTTGTGTGTTTGACCCTGTTTTGATTGACACTTCTCAGCTTTATACGGCTAAAAGTGTAAAGCTGGAGGCTATTTGGTTGAGTTGAAACAAGCAGTTTCGGTTTTGTAAGATTCAAATGCTTTAGTGTTGGAATGATCTTTTTGAAAGGGACTTTAGTTTGTAACAGTGCTCTTTAGTCACATGGCAGTTCATTGATTTTTTTAGTTCACCGGTTCGGTTTTATTCAGTGTTGAATCATTGGAAAGGCGAAATATTTTGGACAGCTATCTCAAGAAATTGATCTTAAGATTTTCAGGCGGATGTTAGACGAGCTTGGTGGAGAACGTTGATAAGTTTTGTTATGCTTAAGATATTCAAGTTCAAATGTGTGGAGATTTGGTGGCAAGGGGGGAATGGTTAGTGCATGTTATAGTATGATTTTAGGAAGCTCTGCTTTTCTTCCAACAGAACTATGCTATGGTTCTTTGCTCTTGCTAGCTCTATATCATTTGGAATATCAATAAAATTTATTTTGGCTGAGAAAAAAATATTCACCTATGTGTAGTTTTTCCAAGTAATTGACCTCACCCACATTCACTTTGGAATATCATACAGCCCTTTTCCAATCTCTAATATCAAAAGAAAAAAAATTAATTAACCTGTATTGCTTAGAGCACTTGTGGTAATAATTTAAACTTTAAAGCATATTAATTTCTTTCAATCTATGACAAAGGTTAGAATTTCTTTCATATTAATTAGTAATTCATATTTAAAGGTTAGAATATGAGGGTCTCTTTTTTTCATACCAAAATATGAGCTTGAAATCTTTACTAGTTAGCGTTTGCCTTAAAAGTTAAAACATAGTAACTCTACAATCATACATTAAGCAAATACAGATATCAGGATGATCTTCATAAATATCATAATCTGTATGGTAACACTATAATCATATATCATATTCTGATTACCCCAAAAATTGGCACCAAACCAAGGGAAAAAAAAGTGGCAATGAATCTTATAATAAGACTCTCAATGAGTTCTAAACCAAACACATTGGGTTATTTGTTCAAAATTTTTGTTTCAGCAACAACCCACATAATCCATTATTTAACTGCTTTTGAGTTCCAAAAGTAAACAAAGAAACACAAGTTGGCACATGCGAAACAGCAATAACTGTATGGTTGCTCCTACAAGGATCTACCTATTGCTCTCCACCAAGCTCCACCCGCAGGTTGTCATATGGATATACTTTTGGTGTCTGGTTAACGGTAGGGAAAAGATATCAATCAGCATAAGAAGTATCAAACAATGTATACCAGCAAGTAGCGTAACTTTAAGTATGACAAACTAAATTCTTGCAAGCAACAATAATTTTAAACCAAATTCATGAAATATAGATCACACATAATTCTCTCCAGCTTCTTTGTTGGCTACTAATGACTCCCTACATAAAATGTTGATTGATGCATTAGTGAAAAAAGAAATTAAATGCCATACAAAATAAAAAGGAAAGGAATCTTCCAAAGCAGAGATCACTAAACGAATGGAGGACTAAGACTGCTACCCTGCTAGTAGGTACAAACATTATTGTTTAAATTTCTCACTGTCATCTTTCAACGACAGCATTTGGAGTATTAGGAAAACAAAATATTAGGGAAAAAAAAGAAAAGAAGAGAAAACATGATATCTAACTGCACAAGCAAGCAGTGGTTTCCCATGTTTTATCAGATGGATCAGAGTAATGTAATGCTGAACATCTCTCCAGAAAGCTCATATTCAACTGTTTTATCCTCATTGTCCTTAGAACCCTTAGCACATCTACATATAGAAATTATCAAACAATCCATTTCAGATACCCATGCAGGTAACATGGTAGCGCCTTTGCATCCTCTAACACACAGATGGAAGCTATCCTGCAAGGGCTTCTTGCAAACCCCGAAACACATTGTCAACTTTGCTAACTTAATATGAGATGAATATAAAACTCCAGCAGGCGGAACAATGAGGCAGACAGCCACCCTAGCTTCCAAGGCTAGGGCTCGTATCAACAATTCAACATATTAAACAGGGAAATGACATTTCTGATTACATTCCCAATATTAGTCGGAAGCAAGGAAAATCCAAAGATGTGGGCCTTACACAGTAAGCCCGTGCAAAGTTCTTTCTCTCAACTCTAAACGAATGTTGAAAAAAGGCTAGAGTCCTCTACAAAGAAATATCTTCCATTCTGAAGTGGGTAGTTAATATGATTCAGATAACAGATCCCTTATTCTATGATCATCACTCACTTGACATGATGTTCAATTTTTCTAAGCAGACAACAGAGTGACACCGTGATACCATTGGATTCGATCAGTATCCCACATTCCTACTCTTTCCCAATTTGAAACATATCAAAAACACCGCGAAAACTACAAAATAATATCACATGAAGAAATTCAAGAACTATAAAGAAAACCAAACTGAACTAAGCCAGCCAAAATCAAATAATTAAGTCTGAGTTTTTGAACTTACGAATGGAATGGTAGAGGCTTTATCATTCCACCAAGCTAATAATCCCAACGATGCAAAGAAGCTCAAACCTCCACACATCCAAGCCAATGCCTCATACTATTCCCAGAAAACGAAACCAATAAAATAAATTGAAACATAAGAATAAAAAGGGAGAAAAAATCAATTTCTTTAAATAATCCAAAATCCCACAACAATAATTACAAAATGGACCTTAAAAACCGACAAATTTCTTACCTTTCCGACAGTATCAGCGATTCGATCAATACAAGGCTCTGGAAATGCGGTTCCATTGTCCCAAATTAGCTCGTCATTTACAGGAAGCTGAAGCGTCAAAAACAAGTATAAGTTTTAAGGTTTGAGGTTGATTGTTTCAACGATTAAAGAGGAATAAATCTGAAAAATAATAAAGTGATTAAGCTTACGGGTTTGTCGGGCACAATGTGTTTACCCACAGGGAGACCCATGCCAGATCGAAGGAGAAGAGAGGAGGCGACGGAGCGTGAAACGATGCCGTTTCCGCCCATGATCCGCGAAGCTACATTGCTCAATCTTCCCGCCATTTTTCCTTTTTTTTTTTTTTTCTTTTTCTTCCGTCGCTTTCTCAAGAACCAAACAGTGGTTTTCTATTTGCTGAATTAACATGTAGCACTGGAGTGCTAATACCACCCAAACCTATGGGCCATGGCCCATCACGTGGGATTGATAAATGAAAGCCATAAAAAAATGAAACTGTTTCGTAGCCCATCAATATAATATTATTTATCATTATATTTGTAAGTATTTAATTTTTTATTTTACAGCAAGAATTCGACCCTTTATATATATATATATATATATCCATTCTTTTTTTTTTTTTAATTTCTCAAATTTCATTCAACTCTTTTCATAAAAAATATTTTCCAAAACCAATGGAAATAGGAAACTAGCTAGTTCCCTTTTTGTTTTTCAATCAATTTATAATGTAAATAGGTTGTAGCAAGTACGTAGAATCAGTGTATATCCTATTAAATTAATTTTTCCATCAACCAAATGATCTTAAATATAATTGGGAGCGAATTATAGATATTTGTAAGGTTTGGAAAGGCCATACTCCTTATGTAAATCAAGATTTATGAATCTATATATTGAAAAAAAAATATATATATATATATATAGTCTTCTTAATGCATTTCAGTTAATTTTGAACTGATCTGTTTTAATGCAAATGAAACGCTGGTTAAATTTGAACTATGTTGAATATTGATCCAAGTTTCCCAATCACAATTGCATTTAAATTTACGAACTGTTGGATGATGAAGATGTCATGGAAGAAATTGAGAGGGAATGGAGTAAAATGGAGTTTGAAGGAAGAGCTGGGTTATGTTTGATTAAGAAATTGTGTAATTTGAAGATATTATCTGTTTGTACCCTCTGTTTTTACCTGCAGTGTTTTAATCAAATCCATCTTGACTTGGCAAAAAACAAAATTGCTTTCAAACCCAAGGGGAAATGTATAGCCTTAATTAAGAGTTAAGGAATTTGAATGATAAGACTGTCGTAATATGAAAATGTATTACCATTTTTTTTAATAATTTTATTCATGCAACTTAAGATAATTATTACATACCTAGCTATATCTTAACCAAAAATGAAAAAAGAAAAAAAAAAAAAAACTATGGCAATAAGGAAAATTTGTCTCTTCCATTATCGATTATGGTTTATGAATCTAATTGCAATTGTTATTAATTGTGATAAGTTCTTCACACAACAAATAACAATCTGTCCCATATTATTGCAATAAAATGTTAAAGTGTATCATTTTACAAGTAATATTTAGTTGATTCAACATACCTTATACATAATTAAGATGCATCTTTCTCAAGTTTCAAAGCATTATTATTATTGTAGGTCTGGTATCCTAATAAATATTATCCCAAAAAGAAAGGAAGTGACATTAAAAGGAACTAAAGAAGGCATGCAAAGGTATCAGAAGAAGCGTACAATTGAAGTAATTATTTTCATTTTGTTGCAAAGATGAAAACCTCTCATCGACAACGTTGACAAGGAAGGTGATAGCCTTCCGTGCATAAAAGGAGATTATTAAAGCAAGACAACAACAAAGACGTACACCATTGCTCGTGAAAATGAGCTTTATTAATTATTGTAGTTGTTTCATTAACAGTTGCAGGGTGTATGAGCAATTCCACAACCATCGAGCAGTAGCCCCAGTTGTAACGGAAGCGTCGACGTCGACAATGCCCAAGATATTGGCCTTGGCGATAGCGCAGAGGCAAACCTCCGCATTAAGAGCAAATAAATTTGCAATGAGGTTGCAGCATGGGCATCCTGGGTAAAGAATGCCCAGAGGTCCCAACACGTTGACGCAAACATTCACGTCATAACTTGAGCATTGGCTAATTTGAATGCTAGCGTTAGCCATTGAAAAAAGAGAGCAGGTTGAGGGAGAGAAGAATGGCAATTGTTGCTCAAGCCTTTGAAGCCATTTCTTAGTTAATTAGCTGAAGTTATTTTTGAAATGTATTGAACTTTGTTTTCAGAGAAAATTAAAGCTGAGTGATGAAAATGTTGAGTGCAAAGAGGCTTTTTATGGTTGGGAGATAGGGAACTGTTTGGGTTTAGAAAACAAGCGAACGTGGTTCAAATGGGCAATTTGCAGTTCAACTGGGGATTATACATACAGAACTCAACATTCGTTATTCGATTGAATCCTAAATTTTTTTATAGTTTTGATGTAATGATAGTCGTCGATTCTTCAGCTCTTCGTTTGTTTCTATAACTTTCCTAGGTTTTTGCTTCGATAACAATTTGACTTATTGCAAATCTAAGGCATAAATTTAGGACGAGAATTGCATCTGCCTTAGTAACGCAGCTTTTATTAACACATGGATCATATATATACATTAATACATAAAAGAACTCAACTCCTGAAATTTTATCATACGTCGGTGAGCAGTTGCGTATTAGGTTTTCCAAGTGTAAATTATTTAATTAAATTGGATCATATAAATTATACCTCGAAGAGCTAGTAAGAAAAAAAAAAAAAAACCACTTTCTTACTTTTGAAAGAATCATTTGGAAATGAACCGTCGTATATATTGTTATTTCTTGATAGCCTGCCTTTAAGCTTCATGGAATCATTGAATCTGGTAGGAAACAGGTGAGTTGCACCGAAAGGTTTTCGACGTTTGTACTTCCATACTTCAGTAAGTAAGAAGGATTCTCGACAAGGTGGGGAATATAAAATTAATGAGTGCGGTCTTCCTTAGAGTATTTGTAGGTTGGTGCTTATGTCATAGATTTAAGGATTAGTCTTAAATTTCATATTAAATATAAAAAGAAGGTCATTGAATAACCGTGAGGTCAAAGAGATCCAAACAGACGTTGTTATATAGTTTCAGAGAATGGGTCTGGTCAGGCACATCTGGTGTAGTATTCTTGTGGCTTGGACCTTTAACCCAGAGGTATAACATTAACATATAACAAATGTTATAAATGCCGACCATAACTGCCTAGAAATGAGTTTCAAATTTTCTTATAAGCCTAATATCTTTGTGATAAAGTCAATGTCATAATGCCAATAATCGCATGATCTCTTAATACAACGGATGGTAGTTAGAATCCTCCAAAATTTTGAAAACTTTGTGTGTGTGTATATATATATATTAAATTTAAAATTTTTCTAAATTAATGTTGTTAATTAATTTTATTTATTATTTATTTTTATAATCTAATTTTACGTAATCATTTAAGAAAAGTTAAAATTTCTGTAAGATTGGCGCTTACAATTTATCTTTCTCCATCCTTAGGTTCCAAATTCCTTTATTCAAAAAAATGTTCCAATTTCATTTTTTTAAAGATATATTTTATTTTTCTAGTTTTGAATAAAAATATATTGATTAAACTTCACAATTAATTTATTTTTATATATTTTCTAGTTTTAAATTATTTATTTGATGTATTTTATTTTTTATACTTTTAATTATGAATTGATAAAACTTATAATTATATGATTTTGTTATTTTTTTATTAGAATATTGCTTGCATATAACTTTTATATTAAATGAATATGATAGAATATCTCAAATAAAAAAATATATATGATTTTATTTGACCTATTTAAAATAAGATGTCAAGATCGATTATTGAATAAAGTGCAAAATTTTTAATTTTAATTGTCATAACGTCTAGATCCGGAGATCTATCGTTAGACATTGACTTAAGTGAGTCGTCACCAATCTTTTTTGTCTAAGTGCGATTGGTCACCTAAAGAATCTGTTCTTTTAGGGAGCGCCTAAGTTTAAGGACCCTTAAAAGAATAGGTTCAGGTCTACTAACCAAAATAGGGTTCGGGAGTTCGGTTACGTGTGAGGAAGGTTATAGCACCCTCATAACGCCCATCAAAAGATGGTACCAGCTTAAATTTGTGTTATCCAATAAGCCTTAAAATTTTATCAAGTAATTAATTGTTGAAAATTATTCTCAATTGACTCTAATACTTTTAGCAAAAAATTGAGAAAATTCTCTCACTTCAGGAGTATACAAGAAAAATTATTGTTTTTCTTGCAGAGGCTTCGTCGTCGGATTAGTTAAAGAAAAATCAAAATCAAAATCAAAATAGAAAGAAAGGAAAGAATGATTGTTCTTGTGCAGGAAAAATTGATATTTTTAACTTTTTTTTCAAAAATATTTTTTGGAAATTTATTTTTAAGTAAAATTGATACTTTTAACTTTTTTCCAAAAATATTTTTTGAAAATTTATTTTTAAGGAAAATTGATATTTTTAATTTTTCCTCAAAAATATTTTTTTTGAAACTTTGATTTCCAAAGAAAATTAATACTTTCAACTTTTCCTCAAAAATCCCTTTTTGAAAATTTATTTCTAAGAAAAATTGATACTTTCAACTTTTCCTTAAAAATATTTTTCGAAAATTTTGATTTTCAAAGAAAATTGATACTTTCAACTTTTCCTCAAAAATATTTTTTTGAAAATTTATTTTTAAGGAAAATTAATATTTTCAACTTTTTCTCAAAAATATTTTTTTTGAAACCTTGATTTCTAAGGAAAATTGATACTTTCAACTTTTCGTCAAAAACCTTTTTTTTGAAATTTATTTTTTTTATTAAAGATCGTTATTGAATAAAGTGCAAATTTTTAATTTTAATAATTAAGATTTGAATCATGGTAAATTTAAATAAAGTTTTTTTTAAAAAAAAACCATACATACTTCAAGACTATGGCCTAAGGAACTGTCTTGGCAAAAAAATTGGAGTTTATGAGATAAAATAACGAGACCAAATATATAGCTCAAACCCAATGAAATGTCAGAGGTAATTAAGTTAATTAAAAAATAATAAAGATGTTGGCATCCATCGAGGTGACCTAATTATTCTTGTAAAATATCTTGTTTTGGTTTGAGTTGACTACTTGCACACGCTTCGTTCAAAAGACGGACACAATCGATTTTTTTTTTTTTCTAATTCTTTTATGAAAGCACTGTCATTTTTTAACAGTTTATTGAGTACCCGTTTGGATTTAATAATATTTTTTATACGATCTCAATTAAATTTTAAATATTAATTTTAATAAAATTTATTTAATATAATATTCTTATTAAAT